GACATGTGGTCTGAAATGGGAAAACATTACGCACAAGCTAAAGATGTCTATTGATTAATTGACTGATTAATTTTTAAATGAGGTGAGGAATGCAAAACTGTTGCCTTTCTACCGGAGGACAAGGGTAGTTATCTGAAGAACCATACTAAGGAGACCGTTACCACAGATACCCAAACTATATGTCGCATCCAATGTTATCTGAGTAATCACTGCGTATCATATAACTACCACCAACGTACCGGCACCTGTGAGATCAATGACTCGGATAATTTTCAACATCCTGGGGATCTTATCAGACGAGATGGCTACGTGTATCACGCTACAAAGGTCAGTAATAAGCATCACGGTGCTTATTAATTGTAAACAATTATATTGTTTGAGGTCGCGTCTACACGGTACCGGACGATTCTTTAACCAGTCGAAACGTTGTACGTTTAGTTGTTCCTTTCACAAGGGAATTTCGTACTCCTAGATGTGCAAATTAGGGAGCTAAGAAATCGACTTCAAATCAATATATCTTGAGTAGCACGGATAAAAAATTGACCAGCACCGTATGAATACCTTGTCCACCGGGATGACTTTTCGTACGACAAGCAGTAAACAATACGCTTTGCGCATGATCAGATAGAAAATCACTAACACTATCATAATGATTCACAGGGGGAAGAGGGGGACAACTTATCATTTATTATTTGGCGTAAAGGTCTAGTTACTCCGCCATCTTTTTTTTATATTATTATATTTACCGCTGTACATAAACTTAAGCCGTCAAGCAACCGTCCGAGCTAAGGTACAGCACGCGCTATCTGACGGGCTCAAGATTACGTATATTACGTACAGCGGTAAATAATACAAAACAAGATGGCGGAGTAACAAGACATTTTCGTGAACAATAAAAGATAAGTGGTCCCCCTCTGTTCCCTGTGAGTGATCCGGTTCCATGTAAACGGTATGTACAGGTCAAATTTGTGACCGGGTAAAAATTCGTCCGGTACTGTGTAAATGCAGCCTGAGTTGAGCATGATTAGTCACTGAATGAGACCGTTTTCGAATTAGTCAAATACTGCTGTGTTTCATGGTCATACACACATTTAAGCCTTGTTCACACTAGCTTCGGAATCCGAAACCTAATCGGCATCCCAACGGGAATTAGAATCAGAGTCAGAATCGGAACTAGGCCATTCCGAGCAGAAAAAGACAGCTTCGTGGAGGTAAAACAACGAAGCCATGAATCTTTCTGTCCGTGAAACAATTTTTGAACAATCCACGAGCTGTATCACCAAATGCTAATTCAGGTACTTTCCCGTGTACCATTGTCATCTATATTTTTGAGCCCACCGACAATGATTTTGCAATGTTTGTACATCAGACCAATGTATCTTATCTTTCTATCAGAATGATTGTCAAACCAAACCTTGTCCTGTCAACAGTACTTGCAAACAAAACTTTATCAGTGGCGGCTACAGATGCCTGTGTTCATTTGAGTATCGTAAGTTAAAGCCCTTTTTTCCTTGTTTTTATTTTGGTAGCGTAGCATTGAAGTGGGCAAGTCTAACTTAGTTGGGGAGTGTTAGGGGCAAGAGCGCGCGCGCAAAATTTCCCGCCAAATCCACAGGAGGTCCATGAAGATAATTAGAGTTTTTCAGAAATCCTATAATACATTATAACAAAACCGTAGTAATATTTCAATATGATTCTTATCGTTTTAATATTTATTGAATTATTGTCTGTGTACTTCAGCTTTTAAATTATTATATTTTTCTAACATTTGATTAAATAAAGACTAAATTTATTTCTTTATAGTTGGGAGACCTCATATTGATTGCGAGTTTCCTTATCAAAAAGTGGGATGTTTTAAGGATCGCCGGGCCAGCAGATCGCTCCCTGAACTTATTTTAACGTATAAAGACGAGAATAGTCCTAAATACGAAAAACCTTATCATGGACAAAACAACCTGTACAACCTGTACTTTTTCATTGAGTCGATGCGATGGTGAGTTTAGTGCTGAATGTAAATTTTATGGCAAACAAGGAATGAATGAATAATTGAAATGGAGGGAGGGAGGGAGGGAGGGAGGGATGCATGGATGGAGCAGAGCAGAGAGCAAAGTTAATTATATTTATATCTGCATGCACGTTTTCGTTCTTAATCTTGTATCATTTCGTGAATGGTTGTAGGTTTATATCTCGATGTGCTTTTAAAACAAAAGAGAAAGGATTTCAGGTTTTTGGCATACAGAATGAATGGGAGTGCTGGAGCGGACCTGATGGCGAAAACTCCTATTCTAAATACGGAAAAGAAGATAAAACGAAGTGTTTTCAGGGTAAATATACTGCAGGTTGCGAAAAAAATAACCCGCAGGCATGTTTTGGTCTTGCCAATGTAAACTATGTTTATAAACTTCTCTAAATATATAAACCTATTTCTAAAAACGTAGTCGGTCGGTGATCTGAAATCTGAGACCAAGTAAAATGCATTGCTTCCTTTTAGATTGGAATATGAAGCATGAACTCAAAATTAGTAGTGATTTTTAGTATTTTAGCCATAAAATCTAAAAGGACCAAAATTCCGTATATTCTCAAAACGCCCAATTCAAATCTCCGACCGACAACGTTTTTTGAAAGAGGTGTAGATGATTACGCATTTATTCACATCATTTAAAATTCATTTGAAATTCATTTTGTTGAAAATGAAAGATTTCCAAATTCCAAGAATTTTTGCTCTTAGTGCCATTTAAAGTGCATGTTTTCTTTTGAAAGATGAAATAATCAAAACATGAGTTAATAAAGCTTTGAGTCGTAAACCTGTCTATATAGAAGCTTTGCACCATCACGTGATGGCAACCAAGACATCAGGCACGACAATGGAATCTTTTCCCCTGGAAACTGATCCTTTCTCATATAACCCTAATAAGGGCTAAGTTGGCAATTCCAAATGTTAACCAAGAATAGAGGCATGGCATCCATGTTGGTGTACATAACAAGAGAAGCTAACGAGAAATCTTTAGTTAACGGTACACCAACATGGCGGTCATGATGTCACATGCTAACCAAGAATAGAGGCATGGCAGCCATGTTGGTGTACATAACAAGACTCAGCATCATTAAGGCCTTGCTCTCAGATGAAAAACTGTTTGGCTATATCATAGCCAGTTTTCTACGAATCTTCCCCAAACTTGGCAAGTTAAGGTCTTTTGTGAAAAGAAGGAACCTTAGAGCCTTGGTTACCATGGAAACTAAGTCACGTGACCACAAGGCCGCCATCTTGGATTTTTAAACAAATCGTTTGTAGTCGTATTGAAACTACTTCAAAAGTCCTGAAAATCCATATTCCTTTTTATATTTGCAATAACTATATGGATCTAATTGGATATCTTGGAAATTATATTAAGTTTAATTTTTAGAATATTTTCTGTATTTTCCAAAAAATTAAAAATATTCTAAAAATTAAACTTAATATAA